TCTACTAAAAGTACAAAAATTAGCCAGGCATGGTGGTGCACACCTGTAATCTCAGCACTTTGGGAGCCGAGGTGGGCAGATCACCTGAGGTCAGGAGTTCGAGACCAGCCTGGTCAACATGGTGAAACCCCGTCTCTACTAAAAGTACAAAAATTAGCCAGGCATGGTGGTAGGCACCTGTGATCCCAGCTACTCAGGAGGCTGAGGCAGGAGAATTGCTTGAACCCAGGAGGCAGAGGTTACAGTGAGCCAAGATTGCGCCATTGCACTCCAGCCTGGGTGACAAGAGTAAGACCCTGTCACAAAAAAAAAAAAAAAAAGGTTATCTGCAAGTCACTGACCTTGCCTGGAAATATTAGTCTACCTCAGTTCCCTGAAGTAAACCCCAACAGATAACACCATGAGCCAATAACCAGGTCAGTATGTGGCAGCCCAAAAGGCCAAAAGCACCTGGTGGGCTACTGATCAGAGCAGATCAACTGAAGCTATGTAACTGCCACAGTAAACAAAATGCCACCTCCAGGCTGCAGGAATCCCATCTCAGGCTGAGCAAGTTTAATCGCTTCTGCTGCTGCTTCTTCCTTTTCTTACAGGTGTTCACAGGAGAAAAAAAAAACAAACACACACACACACAGATATATCAGAGTGAGCAACTCTAAGGCAGATAACTGTTCCATCAGATTTGTAAGAAGAAAGAAAAAGAAAAGGAGGTGTCAGATATATATGCTTGAAGGAAGGCATGAGGGTGGGGAAGGGGGAGTAATAAAGACACAACTAGTGAATATGGCGAATGGTGAACTGTGCTGCCAATTGCAAAGTGACTATGTTTGAACACCAAATGAGGTTTCAGATACGAACGGCTTGACAGTGTTCCTCTACTGCTGAATTTTGAACTGAGAATCTCAGGGGATCCAGAACTAAAAAGGTGGGAATACCAAGCAGTGTGGGTCCATGTGAGTTGGCCTATTCTGGAACAAACTGAAAATGGCTAATTTATGAGGACTTTAAAATAACGTATTAGAAGAATGACCATTGTATAAGAGGGCAGGGGAAATTCTGCTTTGATAATTTGACAGTTCAAAATGAACACTGCTTTTCCCCTAATTCAATCTTGATTTCCTTTAGCTAAATGTTTCCTTTCTTTACTACCCTCTTCACAAATCAGATGGAAGGGCTGTTTAGAGCTAACTCACTGGTCCTAAAAATAACTGGAGCTAAACAAAAAGCTCATTCTTGCTGGCATGAATGATCTTCCAGGTAGCTGCTGTGCAATGCCCCCAGCAGTAAGCTGAGCATTGCTGATGTATGTAACAGAGACAGGAGTCGGGCTGCAGTGAGAGGGCAGTGCTTGGATCCCACAAAGGTTGCAAGGCCCTCTGAGACTCAACAACAAGGGGTTCTAAACTTAGAACTACAGGGATCTGGTACGAGGCCTACACCAAAACCACTGGAGAATAAAGCAGATCTAGAGAAACACTGGCCAAGGAAGTCTCACAAACCACATGAAACAACATGAGAGGCTAGATAATTCCTCAAGAAAAGAGAAGAGAGAATATATCTTTTTAACTATGCTGAGAGAAAGCTGATTTGGTATCTCAACATCCCATTCAAGTAGCCTCCTCAATTGTTGCCTCTGTCTGCATGCTTAGCACACACCAGGAGTAGGCCCTGGGAGCTCTCAATGGAAAGATACATGCTCAGATACGCACTTGGGGGATGGCTCGTACTTCCCTTTCTGTGACTTTCTTATAGCACCTCAATTTATGGAATAAAAGTAAATGAGCATTAGAAATTTAAAAAAAAATTAGGGCCAGGCACAGTGGCTCATGACTGTAATCCCAGCACTTTGGGAGGATGAGGGGGGCAGATAACTTGAGGTCAGGAGTTTGAGACCAGCCTGGCCAACGTGGTGAAACTCCATCTCTACTAAAAATATAAAAATTGAGTGTGGTGGCAGGCATCTATAATCCCAGCTACTTGGGAGACTAAGGAACGAGAATCGCTTGAACCTGGGAGGCAGAAGCTGCAGTGAGCCAAAATCACTCCACTGCACTCCAGCCTAGGCAACAGAATGAGACTCCATCTCGAAAAAACAAACAAACAAATAAAAAAACCCCACAAAGTAATGAAGAGAAAGATCTTAAAAAAATTTTTTTCGAGACAGGATCTCATTCTGTCACCCAAGTGTTGTACAATGGTGCAAACACAGCTGACTGCAGCCTCCACTGGTTGGAGGATCACTTGATCCCCCAACCCCAGCCTTTCAAGTGGCTCAGACCACAGGTGTGTACACAGGATCTCACTATGTTGCCCAGGCTGGAGTTGAACTTCTGGGGTCAAGCAATCCTCCTCCCTCAGTCTCCCAAAGTGTTGGGATTACAGGCATAAGTCATTGTGCTCAGACAAGCATTAGAAATTCAAACCAATAAAATGAAGGGGCCGGGTATGGTAGCTCATGCCTGTAATCCCAGCACTTTGCAAGGTTGAGGCAGGAGGATCACTTGTGGTCAGGAGTTTAAGACCAGCCTGGCCAACATGGCGAAACCCCATCTCTACTAAAAATATAAAAATTAGCCGGGTGTGGTGGCACACAGCTGTAATCCCAGCTACTCGGGAGGCTGAGGCAGTAGAATTGCTTGAATCTGGAAGGCGGAGGTTGCAGTGAGCCAAGACTGTGCTACTGTACTCCAGCCTGGGCCACTGAGCAAGCCTCTGTCTCACAAATTTAAAAAATAAAAAATAATAATAGTAATTTTTAAAAATGAAGGGACTAAGAGAAAAAAATCAAATGATTTGCTTCTCCTGCAGATGGCTTTGTCACATTCTAGGATTGTTATTAAAGGCCAGAATGGTAAAAATCACCACCTGACCTACAGCAGTCATTTCTGCTATTTAACAGTATTTCTTTTTTTTTTTTTTTTTAGAGACAGAGTCTCACTATGTTGCCCAGGCTGGATACAACTTCTTAGGTTCAAGCAATCCTCATGCCTCAGTCTCCCCAGTAGCTGGGACTACAAGTGTATGCCACTGAGCTCAACAGTGCTTTCTAAGCTACAGGTTATAATCTACCAGGTCATAGCATCAACTTAGTGGGTTGCTACTAACATTTTCAAAAAATGAAGTCAAAAAGAGAGGAAATTATCAGTATGTATTGCAGAAAGCAAAAGTAATGTTTCATGAAACTTGTATTTCAAATGTATATGTATATACATGTACTGGGTCCTGAAAGAAAATGTATGTCTTACACTGAATTAAAATATAAAAAAGTAGCCAGGCGTGGTGGCTCATGCCTGTAATCCCAGTTCTTTGGGAGGCCGAGGTGGGTGGATCACTGAGGTAAGGAGTTCAAGGCCACCCTGACAAACCTCTGACAAACATGGTGAAACCCTGCCTCTACTAAAATTACAAAAATTAGCCAGGTGTGGTGGCGGGCGCCTATAGTCCCAGCTACTCTGTAGGCTCAGGCAGGAGAACCACTTGAACCCAGGAGGCGGAGGTTGCAGTGAACTGAGATCACACCATTGCACTCCTGCCTGGGCAACAGAGAGAGACTCCATCTCAAAAAAAAAAAAAAAAAGAAGAAGAAGAAGAAAAAAGAAAAGAAAAAAGAAGAAGGAAAAAAAAAATATATATATATATGTTTGAAAACCACTGAGCTATTGGAAGCTTGAAGGAACTAGACCAAGACTGTATACTACAGAGAGACTGTGTATGGATCAATCAAATACTTGTGAATTGTGAAGAAGTTCATGGGTCAACTGAACATGCCACAGTTAATATACAAAGGTTACTGCCAGAGTTACTATCAGAGCTATTTAAAAACCCTCACATTATCCTAGAGCTAGGAAATGTGAACTCTCAGTTTGAAAACACAGGAAACCACCACTGAAACTGAGCTGAGAGAGAATGGGGGCTTGTTACATAGCCCCCTGTGGCATTTATCAAGATGAAAGAAATATGGACTGTGGAAGGAAATGAGATGACAGTTTTTACTTCTAGAGTGTCACAGGCCATGGCTACAACCAAAGGACTCATTCATTGACTGAGAAACTAAGCTTCTTAGAAGTGGGGTAGTTGAAGTGGTTATAAGAAACAAGGAAAGAAAAAAACCACTCTTTCAGGTCCTGCCAAACTAGCCCATCCTTCCTGGCACAGTTAACCAAGGGTCCAACTCTGAGTATGGCTGAATTATTTTATCCATATCCACTCCTGACCCTGCCATAGTCACATACCCATTTGGTCTAGTTAAATAGCCCAGTCCTAACTATCCAATAGGAAAGGAAACACAGACCAAGAGAGAAGTATTTCCTAAGTGATAATATATAAAGTCTTAGACAATATGATATCTTACGAGATGGCACAGGATCTGTGCTCTCTTTGGGAGTTTATGAGAGAAACTAAGATACTCTTCAAATAACAAGATCTCCATGTTCCTTACATTGGGCCAGACCTGTCCTCACATTCCCATGTTCCTTATAAAGTAGGAGAAATTATCTGTCCTCTGTACTACTTAGTAAATTAATGGTTAGGTCTAAGGAAGAACCCACAAAATTCTTCACTTGGTCTCAATTCTAATAAGAACAATACTTATCCATCATCTTATCATTCCTTTTTGAAAGAGGTAACTAGAGACAATTCCAGCAATATCTTCTGGTTAAGAAATGAGAAAGGATTTCTAACTTTGATTACAATTATTCTGTAAAAGCATGCTGAGATATAAGTATCACATATTCCTTCCATTTTCATTAGAAACGGAGACAAGGAAGTGGGGAGACAAGCAAACTACTCAGGGCCTTGCAGCATGGTAAGAAGAGGCAGGAATGAGTATTGCTATAGTCTTGTTTGTTTTTCAACTTCCCAGATTATGTTCCTCTGACTCCACTAGCCACTGCTGCTCAGAGTTCAGACTATGTATCATCGAATTACTTTTCTAGAAAGTCAAAATAAAAGGAAAGCTGGTATATACGTATACAATTGGTAGAGAAGTATGAGACTGGTACCTGTAAGAGAGCATGGTGCATCGTTACCTCCAGTTCCGCTAAAACATGAGCAGCATCCTCATTGTTCTCTTGGACCTCCAGATCCTCCTCAGGGATGGTCTCCCAGTTGCCCTGGTGAGCAACCAGCGTGTGCACTAGTTCATACTGTCCAGGGAGCGCCAGGCTCACCCGAGTCTGAGTTCCATAGGTGAAGCGGAGGCGCCGAAGCTTACAGCTCTCCTCACTGCCCAGCTTGGTGGTGGGAAGCACCTGCACCCCCAACAGCAGGTTCAACAGCTGGCACTTGACATTACAATCCTGGCCGAGGATCAGTATGCAAGGGAGGCAGTCCACAATCTGCTGGAGGTACTTCTCTTCCTTAGGCGGGAAGGAAATGCAGCTCAGTTGGCCTGGTTGGGGAAGGGGAAAGTGGAGGAGGAGAAAGGAGTAGAGAGAGAGGAGTGAGGAAGGGGAGAGAGAGAGACTCACATAGAAATCCCACGAGGATGACAGGGTCCTTGAGGAGCAATTTCTAGGAACCTTGGTTGAAGGACATATCGGGGAAAAACCCCAGTGAGAAAAGGCTCTTCACATACCAAAGAGAATTCCCTTCCCTAGCTCATCCCCTAGGAACAAATTGTTATTTCTACTCAGAAACGTGGGAGTGACCTGATCTTCCCGCCCCGCTCCTTTTTCATTCAGTGGAGGGACAGCCTAAGGAGTTTACAAGGACTCCACAAATACCAAGATTATTAAAATAACAAAGCCAGAAAAACTATACTGGTTGGGATGTGAGCCCAAGGAGAAACATACCTGAATGTGTCAAAATTAAACCCTTCCTTCTGACAGAGGACCTAATACTTGAACACAGATTACAGTCATGTGTTGCTTAACAACAGGCATATATTCTGAGAAATGCATCATCAGGCGATTTTGTCACTGTGTGAACATCAGAGTATACTTACACAAACCTAGGTGGTATGGGTACAGCCTACTACACACCTAGGCTATAGGGTGTAGCCTATTGCTCTTAGGCTACAAACGTGTACAGCATGTTACTGTACTGAATACTATAGATAGCTGTAACACAATCTTAAGTATTTGTGTATCTAAACATATCTAAACATAGAAAAGGTATGCTAAAAATACTGTACCTTTGTTGACCAAGATGCCATCATGTAGCACATAATACAGCACTATAGAGCCCTTTTAAATTTATCTACCATATGTGGCTTTAGCTTATGTTCTTCACTGTGACATATTTTACTACTAAATGTATGAGCTATAAATACATAAAATGTATAAATGTATAAAATGAAATGCTATTCAGGTTTGCATAAGCTCTAGAATCTTTTCCAGTTCATCGCTCTGATAGCTGGTGACAACATCCCAGCTGCCAAGTCATCTGTTTCCTTAAAACACTGGGGTGCTCAATTAACATCAATACCTCCTAATCAAATCACATTCCTTCTGTTTATGGGAGACAAGACCCTAAATAGGACAAAGGGAAATAACTGCCTGTTAGGATAAAATCTAGGCAAATCTAGAAAGAGATGTGATTTATCTCAAAAACATTCTCCATGATGGACATCCCAATTACCCTGATTTGACCATTACCACATTGTTACCCACATATCGAAATACCACATGTATCCTATAAATACCACATGTATCCTATAAATATGTACAATTACTATGTGTCAATTAAAAAATCTGTTTTTCACCAACCTGATGTTTTGTACAAAAAATAAAAATCTAAAACAAAAACGAAAACAAAAAAACTTCTCCTTTCAAGGCAACTACTACTAATTTAAATGGATAACTTCCCCAAACGCATTCAAATAATGTTCAAGACAGAACAAGCTTCCTAAAGAATGAGAATCTCTGTCTGGGAAAAATAACCCGAAATTAGTTCACTGAAATTCTCAGTCTGAATTATATCGCTTCCTTATTCCCTCAATATCAGTGTCTGCCTACCTCTAAGATTCAGGCAATTCCCGCATTTGTTCAGAACAGCACAGACACACAGTTCTTAGGCTACAAAAAGGACAATCCTTGAGCCAAACACATCCATCATAATTGAAATTTTGGGTGGCACTAACTGAAACAGTATTTGTTTTAGTCACTTAACCATAAGCTGCATTAAATTATTTGTAGGCCATTTATTTTGTTTGTTGCCGGAATTGAAGCAAGAGAGGCCTGAGTCAATTAAGAGGTGGTTCTACTTCAGAGTGAACCTACCCAGCTACAATTTCAAATCCCTAAGCATCCTTCTCTTCCACAAACAGTAATGCCAAAAGGGTTAAAGAGGTCTGTGTTCACGCAAATCCCTCTATGCATTTCATTAGGGCCCTTCTTTTCATATCTCTCTGTCTATAAGGATATCACCCTGGCCTGCATATATACATCAGCAACACCAGACACTGAAACAAGCCAATCTACTCTCTTGGGAAAGAGATGAGTTCCTTTCAAAAACCAAACAGAGTTAACTAAGTATATAATTCTGTGCAAGGGTATTTACTAAATACAAGAGTGTAACACCAGACAACTAGTCTACTCTTTTGATCTACAACCTAAAAGCAAGAGGACACAGCCAATTGCTTGTGTGGTCATTAACAAGCAGCAGCAAGCCAGTCCTGAGTCCCTTCATACCTTATTCACAACTGCAGAACACTTACCATGCTTTATTCTAATGATCTGTTTATAATCATCAAAAGCAGGAAGAACCATCCTATTTCATCCTCAACACCCAACACAATGCCTGACACATACCAAGGGCTTAATGCTACAGATCTGTTTGTTTTGTCTGAGAATCCATTTAGTGGGGAGAGCTACCTATAGAAAGCTGTCAGCAAACCCACTGAGTACTTTGAAAAGTCCAGTATCATGATGAATAGTTTAAGAGCAACCATCACTCCTAAAAACCTCCTTCATGTGGATAAAGAATAGGACCCTTCGGTCAGATGCAGTGGTTCACGTCTGTAATCCCAGCAGTTTGAGAGGCGGAGGCGGGCAGATCACCTGAGGTCAGGAGTTCGAAACCAGCCTGGCCAACATGGCGAAACTCTGTCTCTACCAAAAATACAAAAAATTAGATGGGCATGGTGGTAATCCCAGGTTCTTGGGAGGCTGAGGCAGGAGAATCGCTTGAACCCAGGAAGCAGAGATTGCAGTGAGCCAAGATCGTGCCATTGCACTCCAGCCTGGGCAACAGAGCAAGATTCCATCTCAAAAAAAAAAAAAAAAAAAAAAAAACAAGAACAGGACCCTTCCATTCATCTTGTGGAATTTAACTACCATAGTCTTAGCTCGAGCAGTGAGAAGTCCAGCTAGAGTGTCTTCACCCTCATCTACACTTCCTAGCTTTCTTCTGTTCCCAGTCCTCCCCAGATTTTCACATAAGTGTCTACATGTGAATGCATACTGACAACCTTTAAATTCTTATAATAAAAATGGTTTCATCACAAAAAGACCAACAAACCTAACTAACCTTTGTTACTGCTACTACCAGGAGAGTGGATAATAGAGAAGAAAACCAACTAAATCACTTTTCAGGACCAGAGGGAGAAAGCATCTGCACCTCTGAGACAAAGTGTCAACTATAGGACAGCCAATGAAACAGGCTGCATCAGCCAAAACCACAGCAGACACACCCCATTATTCATCTGACCCCAATGAACACTCCCCACCTCCATCTTTCCTACAAAAAGTCACCACAAATAAACTTGCTACTGTCAAACCAACCAAAGACCAGTGCAATAGGAAAGGGTGCTGAAGTTGAGCCCAGTACACTGTTAGAAGTCTATGGCAAACATCACTGTCTCTGTTTTCCAACACGTCACTATCCAAGCCCTTTGCTTCTCCCACTAAATCTTTAGCTTTTTCATCCATCTGACATCTCTACCAGATTTGAACAAGGGCTTGGAGAGAAATGAAGTTGAAAGCAGATGGTTTTACTCCTGGATTCTGAGCACACTGCTCAGTGATGTGGAGTGCAATATGGAAGCGGGAACAGCATGAGAATGAAGGCATGCTTTGCCACTCTGACTAGCTCTGTGACCTTGGCAATCCACTCAATCTCTCTGAGCCTTGAAATGCTCATCGGTAAATGCAGGGGGGTGGAGTTGGATTAGATCATCTTTAACATGCTTTCCAGTTCTAAAATGCCAGATTTTAACTGCTGAAAGAACAATGATGTGAGGGGGATGGGTGGTTGGTCTGGTTGTTTTTATTTTGTTTTAAATTATGTGAATCTATGCAAGCGCCCCTTGGACCACTATAACTGCAGATCAAAAAGTAGACTGAACTAGCCAGGGGCTCTGAGGACCTACAGTGCAGTCTCACCAGTTCTCTAAAGAAGAGATTAAAAGCTATAGACTGACAGTAGAAGGGAGGAAGAAAACCTGTTTCAGAGCTGGAGCAGCTGCCTCACTGACAGTTAAAGGACTTCCAAGTTAATCGAGTTTTCTTTTGTAATTAATACAACAGCATCTGCATATGGGCTGCCAGAAGGTAACAGCATGGCTTCTCAGCTGGCGCACATTAACCCTGCCAACTCTGGCTGGGGGAAAATTCATACCAAATCGTCTTAAGTGCAAACCAAGGCTTTTGTTGTTGTTGTTGTTCTTGGTGGTTGTTCTTAAATACAGATTTTGATTTTTTGTTTACTTCTAAACAAAAGTTTCAAGCTAGATGAAAGAGAAGAACAACTAAAGCAGCAACCCATTTTGGTTTTTGTTTTAGATAACATTTATTGAGCCCTTTATATGTATTGATCACTTTATTTGCTTCGTCTCATTTAAAGCTCATAATTCTACCAGACAAAGACTATTATTAACTCCATTTAAAAATGAAGAAATGGGCCAGGAGTGGTGGCTCATGCCTCTAATCCCAGCACTTCGGGAGGCCAACATGGATGGATGGCTTGAGCTCAGAAGTGAGAGACCAGCCTGGACAACAAAGGGAGCAACCCCCGCCGCACCTTTGTTTCTACTAAAAATTTTTTAAAAATCAGCTACGCATGGTGGTATGCTACTCAGGAGGCTGAGGTGTGAAGACTGCTTGACCCGAGGGAGATTGAGGCTGCAGTGACCTGTGATCACGCTGCTGTGTGACTCTCTTGGGTGAGTCACCTGCCTCAAAAAATAATAATAATAAAGATGAGGAAATGGATGCTCAAAAAACCAAACCAGGCTGGGCGCGGTGGCTCACGCCTGTAATCCCAGGACTTTGGGAGGCGGGTGGATCACCTGAGGTCAGGAGTTCGAGACCAGCCTGGCCAACATGGTGAAACCCCATCTCTACTAAAAATACAAAAACTAGCCAAGCATGGTGGCTGATGCCTGTAATCCCAGCTATTCGGGAGGCTGAGGCAGGAGAATTGCTTGAACCCGAGAGGCAGAGGTTGTAG